TCTGTGCAAAATTTAATGTATGGCTGGTCTCGTGCATTCGGCCTCTGGCTGACGCATGAGAGCCGCAGTCGGTACCTTCTGATTCAGAACTACTTTCCCCGTTTGAATTTCACGAAGAAAGCTATGATGCCTCTTGGTTTGCCGATATTAAGGTGATTCGATGGACGCCACATTTTGTGTCAGAACGGCATGCGATATATCGCATCAATTGGTTCCATTTTTTCAGCTACTCGTCATTTTTCTCCAATTTTGAGATCGCAATTCTGTTGTCAGGAGACTAAAGCACTCACTTACCAATATTAGCAAATAAATTCAACGTAATAAAGGCGTGGTTTTTTTAGAGAGAAAATATCGCATTCGAGTGTAGTTTCGATATCAGTATCGAATGCGATGTTTTCTCTCTAAAAAAACCACGCCTTTATTACGTTGAATTTCTTTGTTAAAATTGGTAAGTGAGTGCTTTAGTCTCCTGACAACAGAATTGCGATCTCAAAATTTGAAAAAAATTACGAGTAGCTGAAAAAATGGAACCAATTGATGCGATATATCGCACGTTGTTCTGACACAAAATATGGCGTCCATCGAATCACCTTAAACTAGAGTCCCTTTATATTGAGAGTAAAGACAATGCGAATCCTTTTCTGATTGGTTCCCGCATTTTAGACCTTAGGTGTCACAAACGGGAATAAAGATTATACACTGGGGGGAAAAAACACATTGGATCTACAGTCCAGACTCTTGGAAATATTGAAAAGAAAAAATACTCTTGATTCAGTCAGATTTAAACTTAAATCAAAAGGAAATCCGCTCAAATTAAGAGGCTCGGTTCTTGATTTAAGCTTGAATCTGATTGAATCAAGAGTATTTTTTCTTGTCGATGTTTTTAAGAGTCTGGATCTAGATCCAATGTGTTTTTCTTTTCCAGTGTACAGTTTCACCAATTGCAAAGATTATTAACTGGAATGGACCGGGACATTGGGGGTACGGAAAGGAACAAATAGAATGAGAGAGGGAACGGAGATAGGAATTCGGGAATGGGTTGATCAAAGATTACAAAAAACGTCCAATTTGTATCTCGACCAGTATCTCGTTTGCGGAGTCTAAAAATCACCGCTCCAATTTTATTTCTTGAAGGAGTACAAATAGATATCATCCCTTGAAGTTTACACAGAGTTCTCTTCGCCCAGAGGAGAAAACTCATAGAAGTTTCCAAGAGCTGACGTTGAGTGGTTTTCCATCTAAAAAATGAAGTATGACAGGAAGTCTGCAACGTCGCAAATCGAGATAGGTACGAGGTATGATAGTTTCACCATCTACATGCGTTTCACGCGGACAAGCGACTGGCGCAATGCGGGGAGTATTCCTTTAGTCTTGTAGGCGCTGACATGCTTTTCGCGCCGACCAGCGACCGCACTGTGTTTGGCGCAATGCGTGAAGTATTCCTGCAGTTTGTTTTTGTTTTTGTAGGTCAAATTAGACAGTTGTCGGAGAGTTGACGATTGCAATTTTGTGATGTTGCGATTTTTACGCTTGTCAAACGAAATAATGAGGAGGAAATCCTTAACTCTCTTCCAAAAGATACATTTTATTGACAGGGTTGCCGTAGAATTTAGAAAATGAATTTCCCTGACACTTCCCTGATTTTCCTGACGCATTTTGGTGGCATTTCTGACAATTGAAGATGTGGCGGATGGTTAAGAAGGCATAATTGAAAATAGTTTTCAGGCATTTGTTGTTCGAAACCTCAAACCCATTCTAGAAAGCAAATGAAGGTGATTTATCAAAAATCCCCTGACATTTTCGTCATTTTACCTGACATTTCCCGGTCTTCCCTGACGCATTTTGGTGGCATTTCTGACAATTGAAGATGTGGCGGATGGTTAAGAAGGCATAATTGAAAATAGTTTTCAGGCATTTGTTGTTCGAAACCTCAAACCCATTCTAGAAAGCAAATGAAGGTGATTTAACAAATTTCACGTGACATTTTCGTCATTTTCCCTGACATTTCCCGGTCTTCCGTGACGCATTTTGGTGGCATTTCTGGCAATTGAAGACGTGGCGGATGGTTAAGAAGGCATAATTGAAAATAGTTTTTAGGCATTTGTTGTTCGAAACCTCAAACCCATTCTAGAAAGCAAATGAAGGTAATTTAACAAATTTCCCCTGACATTTTCGTCATTTTACCTGACATTTCCCGGTCTTCCCTGACGCATTTTGGTGGCATTTCTGACAATTGAGGATGTGGCGAATGGTTAAAGAAGGCATAATTGAAAATAGTTATCAGGCAAAATTTGTTGTTCGAAACCTCAAACCCATTCTAGAAAGCAAATGAAGGTGATTTAACAAATTTCACGTGACATTTTCGTCATTTTCCCTGACATTTCCCGGTTTTCCCTGACTGTAGCAACCCTATATCGGAGGAAATTTGACAACTCGGGAATTTTCATACGGCGTTTTTCCTCAGCACGGCAGCGTGACAAGGAGAGACAGAAGCGCCCCCCTGGGCGGCGGCGCGACTGGTATACGACGCGACATGCAAGTGCAGAGGAGGCGCGCGTATGTATCATAATTTAGCCAAGCGGCGACATGATTTCAAAAATTGCGAGGAAACTCGTTGAAGATGCACTTTAATTAGCGCTACACGGCCGCGTCGCGCGTCGGCGTGTAAATCCACCGCACCGTTTCCGGGCGCGGGCGTCCACTATGTCTCCCTCCATCTCTCCACTCTCCACGATAAATTTAAACGCGTAGCACCTATTTATTTGCCGAGCAGGGTTGTTAGATGCACCGGAAAATAGGTCGATGACTCAAGTCAACAATGCGTATCTCCATCGCGACGTTTCAAAATCTCCGAGTATGAATAGTAATAGTCAGTGTTCGAAACTCACAGGCGCCAACGCGCCAAATGCGCCTAAAAAATTAGCTATGACGCCTAAGAAATGAAGGCTCTGCGCCAATGTGGCCCCTAAAAATCTGAATTTTTATATTAGGTGATTTTTTGAAATTTTCAGCACTACAAGTGAAAGCTTTTTCTATTCTTCACGATTTCATCCTTAGTGCTTTTGTCTTCCCCCAAGATACAGCTTCTTACTAGTTCTGTTACGAAAACATCTTGCATCTAACGTGTCACTAAATGCGCCGTAATACATAGGCAAAAAGTCAATTTGGCCCCTAAAAAATCTTCAACGGCGCCTAAAAATCGCTGATGAGGCGGTGTGTGTCGAAATTTAAAACGCCTTCGCCTTCTTGGGTATGCAACACGGACATCCGTGAAGTTCGAATAGTTGCATCCAGGCGTTATGATGAAATTCGATTGGTATCTGTCGCATGTGACACGACCTGAAGCTTTAACAGTAACTTAATTCAAGCTTTGCTTGCTGTGCCGATGCAATAAACTATCACTTATTTTTATCGCGACACTGTCGTTTTTTGAGAAATGCATCATTTAAATTTATTGAAAAACGTTGGCGGTCCCCAAAAATTGCAGAAAATAGGTACTTATGTCAGAGCATAATGTGTAGAGTGTCTTTAGACCCACTTTAATGAGTCGTCCTTTGTTTGGTTTTTTCCCCTTTGAGAAAACTAATTTTGACGTTAAGTGCGAAATTTCCAAAGAACAATCCTGATGAATCACACGGAATTTGAAACAGAAACGATGACCATTCGTCTTTCGAAAAAATGAAAGGCGACGGGAAACCTTCATGTAACATCGCAAGATTAAGTACACGTACTTATATGATTTCCTAGATGCAATTGTGAAACTAAAGCGCAATGAGGTCTCATAAATATCAGTGAAAATTATTTTATGTATGTTTTTCCCTGCTCTTGAAAATGAAATGTGGACTGCGCGTCTAGAACTCGAGGATTATAAAAATTGATGACGATTGTATCGCGAAATCAGTCGCGTAGGACACAAACACTGGTTTTCCCTGGTAAAAATTGGCAGTAAAATCTGTGTTCCAAAATACTATAGACCTAAAGCCGGCTGTAAGATTTCCAATAGCTTCTCTAGCTGGCTTTACAATTTCTCATAACCTTTTATGGCCGATGGCGATTAAGCAACAGCCAGACGATAAAGTTTATGCTAAACGTTATATGTAATACGGATACTAGGACTTAGTTAGTTTTTGGACTACCGCTCTCTTTTTGTGCCGTAGTATCTTGATTTATTTTGCGAGGAAAGCTCCGTACTTTTGAAGGATGCCTGTCATTCTTAATATGTTGGAGCGCCTTCAATTTCTTAAGATACTGTGCAATACCTTTGGTGTGAAATAGTTGCTTCAGACGCCGTGGCACGCTGCGGCGCGGCGGGCGGGCAGAGAGCGCGAAACGCGCATTGGCGCCTACAAACCTAACAGGGATACTTCACGCATTGCGTGATGCGTGAAGTATCCCTGTTAGGTTTGTAGGCACCAGTGCGTCGCCGCTCCGTTTCGTGTTAGGCTCTGATACTTAATCTTGCGGAGTCAGCGTTTTTCAACTCATGATTTTGAAATGTTTGCACACTCTGTATGGATTATTCTCATTTTAATTGATGAAAAAAAAAAAAAATATGTTTAAAGGGAAATATAATGTGTGTTTTGTAAATATTAAGGTAGCTCCCTATCAAACTTAATGATTTCCAAAGCACACGAATTTCCACACAATTTCCTATAGCCTTTTATAGCCAATGGTGATAAAGTGTAAAGTCCGGCGATAGGAACTATAGCCCGACTGTATACTTTTTTACAGCTTCGTATAGCCCGGCTATATGATTTGCTCCGCTTTCTATAGCCAGCTATATGATTTTCAATAGCCTTCTTTAGTCGGCTATAAGAACTCCTATGGTATTTTGAAACGCAGCTCCTATCGCCAATTTTTACCAGGGTTACAGAATATTCTCATTTCTTCATCAAAAATACTTTAATTATTGCAGGAATTTTATTTTATGGTGTATTTTCAAAGTATCAAAGTTTATATTCACATATTTTAAAATGTTTCCTATTTTCTTTCTGTTTCAGACTTGAAAAAGGAAACCGCACAAAATGCCTACCTACTCGGGGCCTGTCCTGGACAACTGTTGCGGGTGTTATTCCCTGAAAACGGGTTCCATCATCAGTGGAATTGCTGGAATGGTAATGAACACATGGTGAATGGGAAAATATTTTTTCTCAGGCGACTGGTGGAGTTCACTCCACTAAATTATTGCCGCTACAGCCGAAAATGACCCTCGGTTCCTTTCAGAGCCTTTGGAAAATCCAGATTCCGGAAAGAGGGGAGGTTCTTAAACGTTTTTGAGTTGAAAAGGTGCATTTTTTTTCTAAAAATCGATTTTCCAGAAAAATTGATAGATTTTGGAAGAAAACGAGGGTCATTTTCGGCTGTAGCGGCACCTGTCGCCTGGGAAAAAATATTTTCCTTCCTTTCCGACGCAAATCAGTCGGACTGGTATTACATCTATTACATGCGTCACATGGGCGGAAAGGGGCACTTGTCCGGTAAAACCTCGATATTTGCAACAGAACGGAAACTTCAATAGGTATGCAATATATGGTTTCCCATGTAATTTTAGCTGCTGAATCCGAAAATGACCTTATCTTTCTTCCATCATGCACAGATTTTTCGGAAAATTGATTTTTCAAAAGCTCGATTTTTAAGGAAAATCCTGAATTTTCCGGGGAAAATCGACCTGACCCAGCATAACGGAGGTCATTTTCGGACTCAGCGCTAAAAACTACCGTAGTACAAGCACATTTGAACCCGTGTTGACCAGTGTTACTTTAAATCTCTGGTCACTACCAAAATAGCGTAGTTTATAAAGAGTGTATTTATATTGGATCGGTGAGGGAGGGGGTTGGGGGGGCTGGGGGACTTAAGGTGGAGGATCGGGTGCATTTTAGGTTATATATTGCCTATTTATGAATAAATTTATCAAGCAGAACTCTCCGTGAGGCCTGAGAAAATTTGCCAAAATTGATGAAAAAATGCGAAAATTAGCCGAATTTTGCAATCTTAAGGGCCGGTCGGGACCTCTAAATGTTGACCAAATGCAAAACTGTTCTACAACGTTTGTTTTTACACTATTAGGAACGTTTTGGCGGGGTCCCTTGTCAATTTCAAAATTCAACCTTTTTAATTTCTCGTATAAGCCGCACCCTAATGCAAAATCTCCATTAGCAATAAAGTTACAGGGGTAGTGCCGTAGTGCGGGACATTGGATCACACTGTATAAGTAGCGCGCCACGCGGTGCAGTAAGGCAGCTTCATCAGGAACACGTGACCTCCGCTGAACGTTCGTAGGGAGCGAGGTCCAACCTCCGCGCATTGAAGACTTGCTATTTCACACTCGTCTCGCCATCTCGGGGATATAGCTCAGTGGTAGAGCGCTCGCTTTGCATGTGAGAGGCCCCGGGTTCGATCCCCGGTATCTCCATTAGATTTTGGTGGATCGGACAAATGCTTAGGTGAACGATTCTTGAACATGATATGCCGAGCTCGGAATGACATATAGTAGTCACTGGCAGTTCTGCCTAAGGTGGATAATCTTTTAACTTCTATAACGAAGTGGATTTTTTTGCAAAAATGACTCATATTTTATCCAGTACCTACCACCTAATCCAATGCAAATTCGTAAAATTTCATACTATTTTTTTTCATGTTTTTTTTTGTTTTATTTCTCTCTCGCTCCCCTCCCCTTCTTTATTTTTCCCCCACACTTTTTCTCTAATTTTAAGCTATTTTTAATGCCCAATTAGGTTCACAGCCATATAAGAATGAGCAAGTGTGATAGAAAATTAAGATCAGGAGTGATAAATGAGCTATTTTGACAATATAGTGAATTTATCAGTATGAAACTTCGATTGAATTGCGATTTTCTCATGACTCAACAAGGTACCTTGCTACCCACTTACATCAAGTAAAACTTAATTCACAGCCAATAATTGATTTTTTTATTATCCGTACAACCACGATATATTGGTATCTAAATTTCTTTCTTTACAAACCATTTTAGCATACCTATTTTTCAACTCAACTTTTTAAAATTAAGATGCTGTTTTATTTAGATTAATTTTTGTTACATGAAGTAAAGGTGTCTTGCATGTCAGGATGGCCCTTCTTTGATGAGCCTTCATTTTTTTTATTTTTTTTTAAAAGTTTTTTTTAGTTTTAGTTTTTATAGGTTGAGAGCACCAGTTATAATTTCTTATTAAGTAAAACCACACATTACATCCAATTAGAGGTCCTTGAAAGTGTGCCCCAAGCCTCATACTGTCTTTCATACACTCTTTCACAAAATTCTTTAAACTCGATCAATCAGGATATAGGTAATTTTTCCAGAATCCCTGACCCTACCTAAATTCTCCAATACTTCTAATTAATTCGCTGTTTTTTTTGTCATATCTCTTTAGATTATGGGAGCCCTCACACTTGTTTATATCTGGGTGACCGATGCAAAAATGAAAACCATCGTCATTGACACGCTCCCTCCAGATGTTGGTAAGGATTCATCTATCCAATAAATTTGGAACTACAGTGCCACAAATGCATGGCAGTCATGAACTGGAAGGAGTGGCAAAATCAATTCCAGATAAAAGCCGAAAGCTTCTGTCTACGATGAGCAGTATCAAAAATCATGAAATTGAAGAAAGTCTGATTCTCATATTCACATACTAAAAAAATGATGAGCCTTTTGGCAACAATTTGGTCTAATACCTGGGTGCCTCAGCTGCAGCTAAACCATTTATGCTCCTCAACCATCTGTCCCATGAATTCAAAGATTTACCATCTACATTCTACAGCAACATTAATTTATACAGTTTAAAGGTTAAATGAGGTGCAAAATCTTGGACAAATATTCTTACATAGTTGAGAGCGAAAAAATAAAGGAGAAAAAAACCAAAGAATAGGTGCTTAAAAATCGGTAGCTGGAAGAAGAGACAAATAAGCCATGGCAAGTGTCATTTTTGCATTTTTTTGTTTTCCTTTCTTAGGTGTGAAATGTCATCCATTTTTTGATTAGGTACTCTTTTCCTAGATCAAATGAAAACTAAATTGAACTTTTTTTTTGTTTTCATTGTATTTCAGTCAAAATAATTGTGACAATCAACCTCATTATGACTATATTCATTTCTCTGATGCTGATCCTTGGAGTTATCAAGGTAAGACAGTCTTACAAATAAATAAAGAACCATAACTGAGGATTATTCTTAGATAATACTACCTGATAAATAAATAATCCATCTATTGATACTTTTACTGTAACATTTTAAAGGGTCCAAGCATTGTTATTAATAAAATAAATTGATTTTTTTCTTTCCGATCAAAATTAGGTATACATCCTCACACGGTTACCTACTTTCAAAAGAAAAGGCAAAGGTCCAAAAGATTTATGAATACCATTGTATAACTTGCAATCAGTAAAAAATTTCAGTTACATTGATATATTCTTCATTTACTTACCTTTTCAGACAATTTTTGGATAATCAGGTTAAGCCAATGAATTTGAATGGGCACATAATTACTTCTAAATTTTGAGAAAATGCCCTACTAATTCCACCGATTTGTAACTTTGATAGATGTCTTTGTTCCAACTTATTTTCAGAGGGTGAAATTCATGATGTTGCCATGGGTCATTCTTGCAATTATGCTTGCCATTGGACTTGGAATCTCCGTAATTTACACTGCAATTGTGTTCATTGTTCATAAAGAAATTCTCAGTGGATTTTTATTCCTCCTTTTCGGCATTCTTTCTGTTGGTAAGTAAATTAACTGCGCCACTCACTGCTAAACTTGATGCACCTTCTCCCAATGAAAGCTGTTGCCACAAAGTAGCAGATCAATGGGGCTGATTGACTTGGTGCAAGCATTGATTCTTAAATCTCAATTCTTACCAGACTATTATTGAAGTCACTGAAATCATTGCAATCTAATTTTTCTGATATCCTTTAACTTTTCAATGTCTCAACTGTCAACAACCACAATTATGCACGCTTTTTCCACACTTGTATATATTTTGATTGCAGAAAGGCACTTGTAGCCATACACTTAAAAAAAGACACTGTACTTTATATATTCTGACACACATAATAAACGCAATATTGGTTTGCCTCTTCACTAATAAAATATAATCGATCATTAAATTAGTAAAAATGCAAATTTAAACAAAATCAAAGTTGTAAACAGCCTTGTTTCATAGGAATGTAAGTCCACTCAAAAGGCAAGCAAGTTATTTAGAGGAAGTCCTGCAATATTTTGTGAATAAGTAGATTCTGAAATTGGCGATAATTTTGTCTCTTCAGGATTTGTAACTTTTAAAAGAATTGATTTCTTTTTTTATAGCAGGGCAAACATGAAATTGGGATTATTACATAATGCAATGCACTCTTTGCAGGTCCTAAACTAAAATAGTGTCCTTATTTTTGTTCTAGGAGTCTACATCTACATGTGGTTAGTAGTCTACAGTTACTATCAACTGCTCCGTGAAGAGGCTGGACGAGGACCATACCAAAAACCCCATTACCGACGATAATAATGCGGAGAAAGTACTCTCCATTTCTAAAAGTATCTCTGTCAGGGAAGTTCTTTCTTCAGCTCTCTACATCAGTATCTGCCACCAAATAAATGCTGATGAAGGCCTAACTCAAATTCAGCTATAAATTCTTCTCTTTTATGAGAGGAATTTTATAGCTCACAGATTTTTACATTGCATGTGACATCGGGACATCATTAATGAATAAGAGATTAGCAGTTGACAGATCCTACGATAAGCTTCATATCATGCAAATGAACCATTCATGGAGGAATAATTTTAAGCAGTTTACAGCAATTTCAAGTAACTGTCCAAGAAACAACAAAAATGTAAGGACTGTTTGCAAGTCATCAAAAACAGGCGGAAGATTATCATTTTCTTCCTAGGAACTTAACCTCTTTCCCTAAATTAAGAGGGATTTTAAAATCAGAGAAAGAAGGAACCATTCTTGAAAGCTTTGAACATGACCTTCGTAGCAACATCTGCAAAGCTGTTACAAGCACCGTGAATTTCAGTTTATGGCTATAGTTGTATCACAATTTTCTTTTTCACACTTTAGTTAATTCAAATGCAATCATTTTTACAATGATTTACTTCACTATATGACTTCCAGTATTATAATCAATTACACTATGTGTGCCTACCTCCAACTTGCATAATAACAGAACTTTGAATTTTGTTATTAGTCAACAGCTTCCCAAAGAAATAATGCTTTCTATCTTGTTCCGACTATGACAGCATTAGTTGAACTTCAAATTTATATTGTGTGAGAAGAAAAAAATGAAGCATGAAGCTTCGTTGCTCTAAGATCCCCCCCCCCCAAAAAAAAAAAAAACATGCACAAGTGTCAGTCTAGTTCTTCCTGATAGTCACAACTTTGATCTCAAAACTAAATTTAAAGTCATTACAAGTCCTCAGATTTGTTGTCAAGAATAAGGCATTACCCGCTCATTTCCTCTTGATGTTTTCCGTCATTTCCCCCTCCTGTGCACGTTTCAAGATGTCATGCATCCGAATCTTAATTCCTAAGAACAAGTTGTTCAACCGTAACTGTGCAGACATTAATCAGATTTTTTTTGTGGAAAGTCTGCATATATTGAGCACATTCCAAAAATCAATGCATGAAGCTCAGAAGGTTCCTCTAAACAAAAAAGACGACATCCCACCCAAACTAAAATGACGTTTCAAATGATCATACTGTCCCAAACCTATAAAATTTATGCCTTCTGTACTAGGCTTTGTCCTTGGTAACTTTAGATTGGACAAAGTGGAAGACTGCCGGATGAATACCGAATTGGACGTACTTCTATCAAACAGAACTATGTGCATTATGACGTGAGTTCTGTTATGCACATATTCTGATGGATTTTAGGGTTCATGTCTTTATGCACATAGTCCTGTTTGGCAGAAATACGTCCAATTGACACCAAGAAAACTGAATTTCATCATCCCACGGCCTCTCCAACCTAGAAAGCTCAAAAGCCATCAGATTCAAGTTCCTCAGAGTCGATGAGAACATCATTTTTCTGAGCCTTTACATCAATTTGAAGGCCTTGCACATTACTAAAGGGAGCTCTGCCCCCCAATTTTGGAGGGTCAGTATTTCAGACAGGAATGGAGCAATTATGGACTTTTTGGTATCAAATTAGGTTAGAATTTTTCTTACCTCCCTATTCATCCGACGGTCCTCGACTACATCAGATCCGAGAAAAGAGCCTGGTACGGGTGAACGGGACACCTTGCATTTGTTCTAAGTCAATGTCTGGGGATCTCTGGTATAAGACAGTACCTGCGGTTTTTTTTTTTTTTTTTTTTTTTTTTTTTTTTTTTAAATATAAATCCACCATTGTGCAGTATTCAATGCAATGCTCATTTGGTTTGAACAAAGGCAGAAGAAACCAAGGCGCACTGAGAGACAGTGCATAGCGACCCTGAGCCTTAAACTTTTTCTGCTTTTCCAGTTTTATGCTTGTTGCAGAGTTTCGATTTGAAGTGCAGAATATTACTTTTCTTGCAGCCTTATTTGCATTAAATTGACGTATTTTCAAATCTGCGTAGGTAGAAAGTGGAACATTTTTAATCTTTCCTGACTTGTACATATTCCCAAACTCAATTTTTGTCAACATGGTGACTAAGCTTTTCGATTCAAGATAGAATGAAAAGTCAATCGATGTATCCTATATATGTATTTAAAAATAATTGTTGATTAAGAAATTACGGCATTTTTAAGCATTCTTGAAGCTGAGCTTAACTTCTTGTAAGTTAGGTGTCTATATTTTTTTGTTTGTTTATAATTTTCATTTCATATTTTATTTATTATTTGTTGTTAATTTATTGGCTTAACGCTTCAGTTTCTTTTTCCTAAAAATGTATTAATTTCATTTTATGAATGTAAATACCTTTAATTGTCTAAAATAAAATGTTTAAAACTTGTACCCCACATCTCTATAATCCTTGTATCAGACATTTCTCAAAAATGACATGTAACACCACAAAGGACAAACTGAAGGAAAACACGTTCAGTTTTCTGAAATGCATTGTCTTAAATTGTATACGAAAGAAAATAATACACAAAATAACTATCTACACTTTGATACAGAAGGTACACTTTTGACCACCCAACTCCTCTGCCAAAATTTTTGGTACAGCAGCACAAGCTGCTGTTATCAATACTTGAAAGTACAAATCTAAATAATGGGAGAGGGGTTGCGCAGTTGAAAGTAAGCCCACGGCATGGCTGTCTCTGCAATGTGCATTGAAGTGGGAGTTGAAAAAAGCAACTTTCGATTCGTTTTTTTGTGGGTTCATATCGTTCAAAATAATCCAGGATGTAAATTAAGTGGATCTACTGTTCGAAAATGCAATGATATGAAATCACTCAGCGAGCTTTTTCCTACAATCTATGACATTATCATGGACAAATCACTGACAAAATCCGTAAATGACAACCCATCAATTCCAGCCACGACTACTAGGCCACTCTCTTCCCGACACTCAACACTCATTCTTCCCCTCCTCATAAAACCAGGTTGCAGGCCTCTCTTGGTTGCACAATATAATGTGTCAAGAGAATGACCAGATCATTGTGGCCCAGACTGATGCGTTGTCATTTGCAGATTTTAATCCCAATTTCACCAGCTCAGGTTGCGTGAAATTAACTACAGCAACGCAGGGGTGCAGAAAATACTCAATCACCCGCAAGGGCGCGTGAAAATGTGCAAAAGCCGTCAAAAATGTGGAAGGAGGGAAAATTTAAAGGCTCAAACATCAAAAGTCAACAAAAAACAGAAGAAAGGTTATCTTTTCTTGAATTGGTGGGAAATTTTGTGGAAAACCAATGAGATAAACGTGGAATGCCGGTAAGCAGACGCGTAAGAATGTGGAAGCTTGGAAGATCCTGCACCCCTGCAGCAACGATGAGTTCGACTTTAAATATTTGTTGTGAAACAGGTGATCTGCATAATCATCACAAAAAGCTAGATATTATGGCTAAAAACAAACTGAAATCATAGAGTTTTTTTTTTCTTTATTATTTTTTCAAAACCATGTATAAAATTCTTAACTGAAAAATGTACAACTGGATTAAAATACAAATAAAAAATAATAAAAACTGATTTACTTGGATCCACTCCATCCCCAGAGACCTTTGACGAGACCAGAAATTCCTCCTTCACCGCCTTTCTTACTTTGCTGCAAGTCAACTTTGGGGAGCTCAATGAGATTATATGCCAAATCAAAGAACAATGGTTTGCAAGGAACGGGTCTCATTTCTGGAGGAAGTTTCATAACATTTGGTTGTTTAGAAAGTAGATCTGGATCTTCTTTGTATTCATTCAATCGTTCTGACAGAGGAATCTGATAAAATTAAGAGAAATAATTAATAAGCAGGAAACCCATGACAAAGAGTAAAACGTGCAGGAGAAAATCACAAGAAACTCATGAAGATAATTGTGTAATTAAGTCAAAATATATTAATTTTCGTAGCTTAAGTGCATATTTTAATAAGTTACAGATATCACTTGCGTTCATTTCTTTAATTCTATTTCCATTACGGCACAAAACATTCTAGAAAACAGGTGATAATTTCTATCAAAAATCTGAGATTGGATATGGTTGGATTTTGGATAGCTGGAGCTGACTCATGATTAAAGTAAAAAGTTTAGAAGCTTGAGGAAAAGCAGGAAAATACACACAAATTTATCCATCTTTGAATTCGAAGAGGTAGTTCCTTCTTTTTTACTCAGAATACCGATCGTATAAAACAACTGTTTGATGTGATATTTGATGAATTAGAAATAAAATAATTTTGAAAAGATTCATTTGAAGTTCCATGAGTCTCAGCTAATTTACAGAAAATCACACATTGATTTTTATGTTCTTTTAAAAATGACTTAAAGAAAGGATGTTGGATATACTAATTAGATGAATTAAAAATGAGAAAAACAGCTTACCTTCTTCTGCTTTTGATTGGATTTTGGATACAAGATAGTTGATTCGGTTGTTGAGGGCTGTTCAGAGTCCAGAATACTGTTGGCAAGGGCAGTAAATTTATTGCGATCAATGTCAGTGAGCAAGTTCTTGAGCTCATCTTTAAGATGTGCATCTGTGAGCTTGTTTGCCAAAGATTCATTGGCATATTCAGCAGCTCTTTCATATAGAGCAGCGATGTCTCCCCATCGTTTCATTGAAGACATGCTTTGTGCAATATAATAACAGCTGAAACAGAAAAACATGCGTCAAGAGCTACATTTCCTTGATTACAGACAAGTCTGTAAGATAAGCTAAATTTTTAATGAGGGCTGTGTTTTTCCAGCTTTTCTGTTGTTCAGTTCACTTATTATGCTTTTGTCCCAAAGAAAACACACCACTTTTGAAAAGTTTTATTTCATATCCAACTTTCTATTCTTGTTTCTTCTTCAATACTTTTTTGTAACAGCCTGACTGTTTAATTTGAAATACAAACACAACAAGCTGTACCTAACATCTGGGGCAGTTGTAATTACTACTATTTTAATTTAACATCATGGAGAAGAAGAGAGAGCAATAGAGGTACAGAAATGGAAAAATTAATTTCCCACCTGTTATCAATAGCTCGTTGAGGTAACAATTGACCTTGCTGAGACAAATATGGGATAAAAACATGATGAGAGTTTGGGATAGAAGCAAAATCTGGGCTGTTTCATAGTGCACTGCCAAACTAGGAAAGTGATTTGGAAGGTACAGAGGAGCCGGAAGGCCTTTTTGGGAGGAAAAACCAAAAGCTAATTAAATTTCGAATCAACACTTTTCAGTATGCTATTTAGCAGCTACAGTTTGTCAGGATTCTTGACAAAAAATTTGCGAGTAGCAAGGATTCCCGAACTGTTGATAATACTGATAGGAATTTTTGCAAAAAGGCAGATTGTGGCCTCAAAAAATTCAGTCAGTGCCTCTTCAGTTCGATAATGGCTCTAGAAAATTTCAAGGCTTCTGATTGGTTATGTCAAAGACTGACCTCAAATGACATCAACTTGTGGCTGTCTGAAATCTAATGTGGTGGTAGGTTATAAGATTCAGGTGGATCCTCAACTTTGGCGCAATGCATTTTGGGTACAATGGATATATCATTTCAAATGTTAATCATAAAGTAGATTATTTCAGGAAAATCGGAATTTCAGTCTATTAATCGATTATTATGGAGTGTTTGTGCCAAAAATCATCTCTTAAAATCTTGAAATGAAAGCAGAGGTACTGTTTCCGATTTGCAACAGATTTTAATGTATCAATATCGATGGTTCATTGGTACGCTGTAAAACTCCAGCAGGCTGATGGCCAGGTGCCACCAGTTGACATTACAATGCGGCAAAATGGACAGAAATTCAAATTTGATTCCAAAATTAAACAATATTCTCCATCTCAAAAAAATTCCAAGGTGGTATTCTCATCCCCTACTTATAAAAATTTTTTTTTTGAAAAACAGGTACAAATTCTCTGTTGTAAAAATTTTGCTGAAGGTAAACTTAGAACATTGTAAAATAGAGAATTCGAGGTATAATTCTTACCGGAATGCTTTGTATGCTATGATTTTTGCTTCGAGTCCAAGTTGATAGTTTGTATCTTCACTTGCATCAGGTAATTGTTGCAACTCGGTAAGATTCTGTAGGATAATCTCATAAAGTCTTGTTAAGTCCTGTGGCCGAGTTTTGCGCAGTTCAACATTAGTCTACATGGAAGAAAAAAAACGGGTTAAACTCAAAATTATATTCACATAAGTCCGTCGACCACCTCATCAACCTGGCTGGCTCCCTCTTGGAGAGGGGGAGGGGAGGGTGGAGGAGGAGCAGAATTGCTTGACATTCTAGAAAATACTGATAAAACATGTATGCAATGTTACAAACATAGTGACATCAACATTATACCACCATGTTCATCTTCATTCTACAATTTTAGGTACAACTCTAAGATTTTAAAAAAATAAATTGTGACCATCTACAGAAAAAGGGATCTAAGTCAATATTGTCGTGCTAAAGAAGGACGCGGTAAAAGTCTTCAGACGTTGCCAAAATTCCTTTGATAAAATGCATGTTTTCAGGAAGATCCGTGAATATTTTTCCTCCAATTTTTGGAGAAATTAACTTGCAATTAGATCTAAATTATTTGAAAATTTCAAGAGAAAATATTCATAACTCTTCTTAAAAATAAACATTTTACTAAAGGAAATTTGGCAACTCTCAGATTTTCAAGCGGCATTTTTTTTTTATTACAGCACCAAAGAGACATAATTTCTGATAGAGCAATTTTTGATATTAAGTTGGGCCGAAAAGTAGGCTTTTGAGTAACTGGAAAACTCTCTCTAGTGCACAGAAGAATAAGTTGCAAGTGAGTCATTTCACTCTTAATCTTAGAGGTCATAAAAATACACCATGATTCGATGATGATGATTCTTGCTCTGAAAAAGGAAGATTGGGATTTTAAAGAACTTTCACTCAAAACTAAGTTTTTCTAACTAGGAACTTTAACACCACATTGATTTAACATACTTTGGCACTTTTTGTCTTAAAATGATCAAAGAACGCTCCTAAATACTGTGGCATCAACCGCCCGGATCTGAGTTTCTTTTAATAATTTTCTCTTCTCCTATTAATAGTCAGACTTGAATTTATTCTTTTAAAGGTGAGTCTACAGGACTTCAAGAGAAAATTCTTCAGCGTTCTACAACTATTACTTCCAGATTTCCTGAAGAAAGAAAACTTCATTGTCCTTGACATATTGGACTTTAAATACGAGAGCATGGAAATTAAAATGAATGAAATTCTGAAAATACTGTGAATAATTAAAGCTCAAGGGGTTTCATCTTCAGGAAACAATTTGATAATTTTCCTTTCTCCTTAAAGTCAGCTAATTTATTTACTTCTTTAGCGTTTTATTCATTAAATTCATAATCAGCTTCATAGAACATCCACAGCAACTAACAATTTGTTACTCGGAAAAAGAAAGTAATTACAAACCTCCTTGAGTCCTTTTTCTTCACTGAGAATTTTTTTGCTTCCTGAGATCAAGAAAAGGTTCTTCCGAATGGACTGCTCTAGTTTCAGGCGTGCTTGATATGCAGGTGACTGCTGCTCCGGTGCAACATTGTCTTTCCGTTTGGTCAGTGTCTAAAAGTTACAAAGAATCGGAATTAGAGATGTGAAAAAAAGTGTAAGTTGTGGAAGGATGATAAAAATAATGCACATTTCTGTGTCCTTTCACACATTGCATTATTCTTTCCAAAACTTTTCACTGACTTTCCTTCAGTTAGAGGAAATGTGGAAAGGTCCTGAAAATGTGGAGAGCCTGCCATACATATACGTGGAAAGCAGAGAAATCTTCAGGGCTTTTCCCGATTTTGAAACGATAAATTTATCGGAAATAGAGGCAAGAGCCGAGACCTGATCAATCAGAATCAGCTGACAAGCGGTTCTTCTTCAGGAATACTTTGGATTTCCTCAAGGATCAGGCTGTTTAGGTTGTTTGCTGCAATGCGCGAATATCGCGAATCTCTATGCCGACTGATACAAAAACTTTGCAACATTTTTTTCCTTAAAAACTTCGCCTCCAACACTTATTTTTTGGGTTGTTCCATAAAATCGGGCTCTTTCCACATTTTCATGCGCCAGGGCAGGCGCCTGATCCAGTATTTCCTGCACACCTGGCACAGAGTGAACAGAGTTTCAAAATCACCCTGATCAGTCTTTGATCTTCTGAGCTGAAAATATGATATCACACAAAATTGCAAATTACCAAACAGAAAACTCATCTACTCACAGGTATTGTGATGTCAACTCCTTCGGACGAGGTTTCCAGTAAGGTATCCATGTTGGCACCATCTCCAATATTATATGCACAATACCTCAGACTTGGATTAAGTTCTTCAGCTCGCATTGCATATAAGGAACTATCTTCTTCATCTAGAGCTGCAGCTAATTTTAAGTAGACAGTCCTAAAAATGAAAAAACAAATACCTAAATAGCAAAATAAAAAAGTGACCGAGAGGTAGGTAATTTAAACACTGAATGTTTTGGGATGACACATGACCAAAGAATAAGTTGTCTGGTGACATATTGATGATAAAACTAGGAAAAGACATGTCACCTTAGTTGTACATGAAAATCCTCTCTTGAGCTTATTTTAATTTTTTAAAAGGATACATATTATTTCAAAGGAGAATATTCAAGAGAAAATTAGAATTCACTAATAATTTAACTAGTAATTTCAGAGAATATTTTTAAAAAGGAGAAGATAAATTGCAAGAAATTACAAGCAATACTGATAATCCATGGGTGATGATTGTTATCCAAAACAGTAGAGTGTGACAAAAAATTTGCGAGTCAATGACAGAGTACTATTCTTGTTTCATCATCAATATGCTGGGTGTTCTATTCACATCTTCACTGTTTGTCTATTTTGCTACAGGGTTATTCAAAAGTCACACACCAATGGCCATAACTTTAGTTCTAATTATGATATCGACTTGCGGTTTAAGACGTTTTTCCTCATATCGAGGGGAAACTTTTTTAGGTTCTTTCCAGTTTTTGATCCCCTCGTGGGAGAAAGGGAGGGGGCAACGCAAAAATTTTAAATGGCCAGTGGTGCGTGACTTTTGAATAACCCTGTATGTTGAAATTCCACAGGTGTAGAGTCTACCATGGACATTCTTCCACAAAAAATTGATTTACAGAATCAGCAAAAACAAATTTGCTGGAAAAAATAACTTCCAATTTTTGTTTTAATTTTTAAGGATCCATCTGTTTACAACAGTAAAGCCAGTTGACAAAAATAAAGGCAATGTGATGACAATACGGGCAAAAAGTATAAGGATTGGTACGATAGTAACATTTTTAACATACGTCATATGATTCCTACATTTTTATCTTAGGGACTTCTATTTGCGGATTATTGTTACTGATACTGATATTTGTCTATCAAGAAATATTGAACATTAAAAGTGAAGACTTATAATACCCGCCAAAAGTTTCAATCAGAAGTTCTTGACTGGCATAAATAAATGTGCAATGAAATTAGCCTTTAAGAAACCACAAAAAACTGTGAACACTGCTATCAACAGGAAAAATTAAGACTGCCAATTGAACTATAATATTTTCACCAGTATCATTTTTGTCCATTGGATTTTATTCCTTTCTGTTTCCGTTCTTGTACAATTTCATTTTGTTAGGTTCCATTCCATCCCCCCCCCCTTCAGAAAAAAACTTGTCTGACAAAATGGTCTTTCTTAGTCTGTCAAAAAACATTTCACTTTTCGACCAATCAGAGTTAAAACTAGTTCACATGAGGGTCACACGGTAGAAACTAATAAGGGAAAGGACATGACATAAAGTCCTCAACTCAAAATTTAAAAAAAAGGTGACAGAATCTGGCGCAAAAAAGAGCATGTCACTCCTTGGGAAGCCATGATTAGAATGGTGGTTCCTCATTCTATGAAACGATGAAAAAGAAACGTGGAAGTAATTAACCGGCCATAAATTTTGTTGTCCTACTGAATGGCTTATCAAAATTGAGGATACAGAAAGTTGAGGATTCTAGAGTTTCAGAGTAAGTCGTTAGTCTTAAATTTGGAGATATTTTGCAGAATACATGAATAAATGACTCACTGTGCTTTCTTCAAATTTTCTAACGCTGTATCCCAAAGCTGCAACTCAAAATGCAATGACCCATGAATCCATGCAACGTATGCTTGTGCCTCTAACCTGCTGCGGGCATCGCACTTTTCTGACTAGAAAAGCAAAAGAAAAGTATTAGTAAGTACAGTTATTTTGTTGGTTGAGAGAACGCAGTGACATTTCACACTGATTTCAAATCTACTGGACAAATGATAAAGAATGATGAATGAAGTATGATATACTTTGTTCAAAATACTCGGACATCAAGATGATCATCCGTTTTTCTGAAACTCATTCATATCTTCCATTTTACTTCCTCTGGTCTCACACTGTCTCATACTCAAAAATAGCATCCTCTGAATATACCGGCCCCTTTGAAGCAGATTAACTTTTCAATCCTTTAACCTGCAACATATTGAAATGGGCGGTGGTGAATATTTCTAAATAAAGGGATCCTTTTTCTACACAATCAAAACTTATCTAATGACTCCATGAAATGATAAGAGTCAGGACTAAAAAATCCAGCAACAAACGGCAAGGTTTTTCTAATGGGGTTGTCAGCAAGTAGGGGAGGCTGTTTTATGATAGTCCCCACAATCGCTGTGGAATCAATGTATTTTCTGGAGATTTTCATGAGTTAAGTATTTTCCATCATTGAATTACAGGTGCTCATTTTCACTTGAATCATTGCGCGATCCTCCCTCCCACCCATAGAAAACTATAAATGACAGCCATTGCGAAATGCATGGGATGATTTTGCTAAAATTCAATATGAAACCAGTCTAGGTGGAGCTCTAGCTACCATCTCAGCTCAAAAAATGCATTTTTACTGGAGTTACCCTGCGGACAAAATTAAATCCCTCCACTTTGCCCCCTTAAAAAGGGCAACATAGCTGACCTATCAATTTTTTTTTTTTTTTTTTAAATACAGTTTGAAAGTGCTCCTAGGGGACTACAATACCTGAAAGTTTTGTTTCAAGAAACTTAAAATTAACTGGCATACAACGCTCTGAAAACTGGAAACAGGTTGGTTTGAATACATAAAATACAATTCAAATGAAAGGAATCATATTTGGACCGCGTTAAACAGAAAGGAACCAAGCCACATCAGCTATTGCGAAATTTAACAGGGAAATTTTATTTTTTACGAGAGAGCGTTCGTGCGGATTCCTTTGAAAATTTTAAGGAATTTGCTTTGTATTATGGAGAAAATTCACTGAAATTTGCACAAAAGTCCGCACAACCGTTTTCATGTAAAAAAATTAAATTGCCCAATCAAATTTGGCGATAGCTCATGTGGCTTGGTTCCTTTCTGTTTAACGTGGTCCATTTGTGAGTTAAATCTAAACACCACAAGACTTTGCTACTATGACATTCTGCTTTGAAAAAAAGGAAGAAAAAATGCAGTGGGAGCTTGTTTTATGCTTTACCGGCCCTGAATGTGTTGAATTCTTTTAAGTTTCATTCCTGATAAAAGGAAAGTCTGAATCAGTGCACAAAAACTTACATCAATGCACAAAAACTTACTTCACACAATTTTTGCAACTGTAATGCATAGACAGTTGCTTTCCGTAACCTATTTATGAGATGAAACTTTTTTCTGGGGGTTTGGTTGGCCTCTTGCCGCAGTTGCATAGCATAACTCCATGCTCTTTCAGCAAGCATTAAAGGAATGCAAAGGTACCTGAAATCACAAATACATTTTACTACTTAATACGGTAGGAACGGGACTTTAAACCACAGAGAGAATTTTTTGGTAAAAATGATGATTTTCTCGAGTGAAGTTGAAAAATCAGAATGTGAGTTCTTGATAACAAAAATTCCACTATCTTAAATTATAAGTTGCGAGGAATATAGTATGTTTTACTGCTGACAAAAGGTGTGAAGGTGCATTTTGAATAATTTTGAGTCTTGAGCATAGCAGGTAACCACACTCTCATCTGAATCATTTAAGAACAAAAGGGCTCAAGCTCCAAAATCATTTGAGTCTTGGCCTCCTTCACTATTAACAATCCAAAGGCTCATGATTTTTGGGCACTTAGCTTTCCTGTGATTAAATGGTTAAATTGCCTCAGTGATTTACGGACCAAATTTTGAAGAAAGGGACGATTAGAATTAACATAAATATCTCTGAAACTCACTCTCTTTATCAAAAGCAGCCCTCCTCTTCAAGTCAACTGCTTTACATTCTCTCGTAAAATGGGACAATTTACACAATTTTTTCTTTACTGAGAAATTTCTTTTCTTCAAAAGTCAGAAATGGACAGAAAAATTTTGTCTTGTGGAGCAAATCAATAATCTCGAGTTCTCATGGTTCTGTCGCTGTTGGTCAGGCTCTATTTGCATGTATCTTCTTGCTGCTAAATCTGGAGTATTAAAATTCTACCTTCGATTTTTGCAGTGCCTGTTATATTATGGATACTATGGATTAATGGAATATGAAGAGCCAATATTTCCATCATCAGCTTTAATACAGAAAATGTATTTTTCATACCACTAGACAGAGGCAGGGGCGCCGTTTCAGGTTATTGCAGGGCCGGGCAAGAAAGTGACAAGGTTTTCTTTTTTGCTCAGCTATTCACCTCAAAAACGGCAAACATATGTCCCCCAAACTATGGCCGATGATTTTTTCACCTCTTTTTTCCTTTCTGTTGGGTCAAACGGTTCTTGACCCGACTCTAAAACGTAGGGCCTGCCAAATGCCCGGACTCCCCCCTTAAATGGCGCTCCTGGGCAGCGGGGAAATGTATCATTCTTTTTCTTTTAAATTATCACTTAAGTAGAATGTAGTGAAATGAAAACATGCAGAGCTAAAACAGCATACCCTGCCATTGATAGATCCTGGTTTAGATGTAATAATGATATTTCATTACCTTCCAGCCAAAGTACCAAGAGTGCCACTATCGCTTGGAAGCTAGGTTGTTGAACATTTCAATATTGTTTTAATTTATTCCTTAAAACTTTTGCAGATAGAATTTTGTGAAAATTACAGGGATCGATTTTAATGATAAAAGAAATATTAGGTAGGTAAAAGTTTCAAGTGAACCCGTTCAATAGTATTTCCGTAAAAAATTTGACAAGTTTGAGAAGTTAGAAACATAGGGCCTACGCACAATTCTACCTTGCTAAGTAACAATGCCATATAAGCATTAAAATGTTGCCAAATTTCCTCTCAGAAAATTTCCTCTGAAGAAAGTCAAAAATATTTTACCTTGAAATTTTCAGACGTTTTATATCAAATTTGGAACAAAATCCTTCGAAAAATTAGAGGAGATATATTCACAAATTTTCCTGAGAATTTATTGTTTTTCGAAGGAAATTTGGCAACGCCTAATGGCTCATACAGTTTTCTTGTTTACTCAGCATGGCAGAATTGGCACTTGTGATACTTCAGCAGGAAAATGACCATTTATTCAAAGCTGAGACTTAGGTATATTCTTCAGGACAGCAGTTTGCAGTTGTTCCTTTGATTTAGCATTGTGTTCAAATTTTTAGTAACTTCATTTTACATTGACTAAACCACTTAAATTCAAAAATAGAAAACGAATATCTCTTAATTCTCAATCGGAGCTGTCAACTTTAGACCTAATAATTGATTGAGTCAAAGTTTTTTTAGAGTAATTGTAGAGAGTTCACCTTTCATCTTTCAGGAGAGCAGCACTAAATTCTACTTTCTTAGAGGTACGTTTGATATTCTGACGCATATGAAGAGTCTTTCGTATCCGACGAACTCGCCTTGAACAATATCCTCTGGATCAAGATGAGAAAAAACAAGGAAAAAAGACAGTGAAAATTAATACATTGAAATATGTTAAAACAGAATTACTATTTCAAAAGAGAACTTAATCTGAATCATTTGTATCTCTTGATAAGTATTAAGTTGATATTTGGTTTTTCAACAAATATAGGTACATGAATAATATAGCTCAACGAGGAAAACAAGTTGCAAATTCACCTACATCGGTTCAATTACTTTTTTTGAGATCGTAAAAGACAGGAAAATTTGATAGGAAAAATCTTACCGATATCTTTGATAATCATCATGCCGTAGACCATGCTGTTGTTGCGCCTCTTTAATGATTTTCAAAACTGGAAAAGAATATAATCACAGGATATAATAAAGTAATGATGAATATCACATTACCAGCAGACTTTGGTACAAGAAGCATTTAGCGCCCTCAGAAAACGCAAATTGCAAAAGGTAACTGTGTTCAATCAGGCCCTGAATGCGAAGGACCCCGCACATGTCTTATGGGGAAGGGTACCACGATTGATTTTCAGTTTTTTTATTGTTTTAAATTTGTCTATATATGCTGATCAAAAGTCATCATTGCACCAACTTTTGACAAGCCACCATTTTCGCACAAAATCGCCGGAAAATGTTCAATAATTCCTTGAATAAATGAAGGTAGTACAAGCTCTATACTCGAGTGCCGTTTGGGTTGGTCGGGTGGGTGTCAATAACGTAAACAGGAAAACCAATCAGCATCTGAGCGACAGTCTAAATCGCGGATTCCACAAGCTTTTTCTTTAGGCAGTCCAAATCAGTTACATTCTTTCTCTCCCACTCTACTCACTATATTGGCCTTACTAGACAGACACGCATTGTGTTTTGATTTCAGCCGGCCTTTCCTGTATATTACCGAAATTTGATTAACGTACTGTGCGAAAATGGTGGCTTGCCAAAAGTTGGCGCAATGATGACTTTTGATCAGCATCATTAGACGAATTTCAAAACAATAAAAAATTAAAAATCAATCATGGTACACATCCCCATGGTGCAAAACAATTCTATGCGTTTCTATTCCGGTGTTTTGAAATTTTCACTCCTATTTTATTTTAGCGCGTAGAAACAAGTCAGCATTATGGCTTGAAACTTATACAGAATATTCTGGTAACAGAGAGGAAAATGTAGGAAGTTTCAAGAAATTATGTTCACCAGTTTTCCATAGAAAAAATAGAGTAGATATGACAAGAAGTCTGCAGTGTCGCAGACAGAGGTACGTTGTTTCGCTCTTTGGCCATCCACCTGCTCAGGTGCTGAGGCAGAATATCATATTGGTTACGACTCCAGTGCATTGGACCGTTACCATCCTCATTTTAATCGGTAACACGCGCCGCCGCATGTAGAGAACATCTGTTGGTAGAAAAATTCCAAGTGTGAGGGAGTATGATCTTTCATACTTTGAACAATTCAATGATCCTAAGCCTTTTGAATCTGCAATTTTCCTAGAAGGATAAAAGATAGGGCCTCCGGCTGAAAAGAATCATGATTCAAGAGTCACCAAAACCCAATTTAAAATTTCCAACTCAACAGAGTTGGAAGATTGAAAGTGAGGTTATCCAGATGAAAATTCACCACACATACCTTCAATGGTGAATAATTGATGATCCTTCCTTTTAGACTCTTTTCCCTCGTTTTCAGCACTTGCAGATTTTTCTCCGACATTATCACTTTTATTTTCGTCCGCAGCAACCATAGTTAATTCTCAATTGAAAACTCCTGA